AGCAAAGCAGCAACTCCGAAAAATCTAGCAGCTCAAAAAAAAAAAAAAAAGCAATGGTAAACCCAGATTTCTATGGCTTAATCTCTATAAAAAAAACAAAATTTTTACGTTGACAGCTTCAATTTTCCTTCCTCAGATCTGCAAAAAAAAAATTGTAAACCAATTTGACAAAATCTTGTCTCTCTCAACCTCTAGAACCTTCCCCTCTGCAACAATCATTCTCCTTCCTCAGAGCTGTAAAAAACCCAAAATTTTTATGTTGAAAACTTCAATTTTCCTTCCTCAGATTTGTAACTTCTGGAATTTCAGTTGGACTTTTCCCTATTTTCTCCAATAAAAATTCAATTTCTTGATCAACTAAGTGTAAAATCTTTAACTATCGAATTGATTTAAGAAATTCTAAGTTTTCAGAATGATTACCGAAGGAGAGAGGAGATCGAAGTTGCAGAGGTCAAGTAGAAATGATCGGAGCCTTGTTCTTGAGCAGGTAAAATTAGGTCTGGACTGAATGTGAACGGAATCGAGAACAAACAGCTGGAGATCAAGAAGAAACAGATTTGAGCATTAGCAACTGAACCGCCTTGAATCGCAGGGATCCGGTGCTGGAGATCAACTGTTACGGCTTCACTCGAACAGTAGATGAAACAAAGGGTACGAAGATTTATTTTGAGAGAACCAGAGGTGGAGAGGAAAAGGAGAGAAGAATCGAGAACGGTTTTAGATTTCCAAGTTGCTTTCAAAGATATTTCAACGGGATAGAGCCTTGGAAAACAGGAAGAAGATGATCAGTTTTTTTTTTTCTATACTGATGTGGAAAAGATTAAAAATGTCAAATCATCCAAAAATAAAAAAAGTCTGGTATTTTTTCCACAGCATTAGTTAAAACAATAGAAAATTGATTTTTTTTTTTATTTTAATCTAACGTTTCACCTAGTTCTGGTAATTTTTTATTCAACCCGTTAATCCGTTCATTATTTGTCTGTTTAAAACGGGTTAAGGTCATATATTTATAATTCGTGATCTGTTAATGACCCGTTAAAAGAATCTAACGGGTCACGGGTCAATAACAGGTTGACCCATCGGGTTAATGGGTTTGACCCGTTTACCTGTTTAAAAATATAAAATTTTTTAATTTATTATTTATTTATTTTGTTTTCTATAAGTAAAAATAATCACGCTGTTTTCTAGAAGTAAAAATAATCACGCTCCACTCATAACTCACCTCCCGACCTTTCCTATTCTTGCTTGCCCTAATACTCTCAAAAACTCTAACTCTTCAAACTTCAAACTTTTCTCATATTTTTCAACCTCTATAGTTCATACAAGCTTTGACTTTTAAGTTTCGACTCCACCTTTTCTCTTTAGTCTTTAACATTATGTCAGACTTAGATCTTAGTCTTATCGAGTCACCGTTGTGTCCACTCAGCCTTTTCTTTTTTTCTCCGATAAGTCCGGCAAGTGCTCTTTTTGTCACCAACTTTTCTCTCTAAATACTTCAAGGTAAGTTGTTTACTTATTTATACTTTTTAGTTTTCTTTCCATTCCAAGTAAAAA